GGAGGAGTTTAAGAGGGCAAGAGTGAAAACAAGAGTGCTGGTCGAATAGATGAGAAGAGAAAGAGATACCCAAATTAGCACCACCGAAAACCGCCATTGTTGCGCGGCAGAGCAAAAGAAAAGCTGCGAAGAAGAAGATGAAAGTGTCAATCAATGGCGAATGGATTTTTTTGGATAAGGAGAGAGGGAAAAAAAGTGAGAGACTGGAGATGAAGGTGACGTGGCACTTGTCAAACTCCACACAGAATAGTCTTCGTTTTATCCACGTGGCGGAAATTAATTGGTTAATATTGTCAAGAATAAATGGGTCTAGCTACAGAGGATTACTATAGTTTCGTTTATTCTCAAAACCAAAACCCTCACTTACTTCTCTAGGTTTTTTTTTTCTCAGTCGCAAGCTTTTTTTTTTCCCGAGAAAATATGAATTCGAACAGTTTCTCACCATCGAAACAGCAAAACCAGCTAAATTTGCAACAATCGCTTTCGAATATTCAGACTCAATGCTCCGATTTACTCAAGAACGTTTCGAAAACCCTTAATCCTCTCTTTAACCACAACAAGAACAACTCTTCTTCTGCTGAGCAACCCAACGTCTTCTCTGCTCTCGATTGTCTGCGAGAGGAAGCTAAGAAAGCCCTTGATTCCGGAATCTCTCGCTTCAGTTCGGTTTACCGCTCTGGAAACGCACCCGTCTGGGCTAGAATCTCTGACGCCGGCGTGAAGACTCAGGTGACGACGGCTCCGCTTCGTAAAACCGGAAACAGCGGCGGGGGATTATCCGCCGATGTTATCGAGGAGAGATTGGCGGGAGTTCCTGTTTACGCACTGTGCAATTCGAATGAGGAATTTGTGTTGGTTTCAGGGAATTCCACTGGGAAATCTCTGGGTTTTTTGTTCTGTAAAGAGGAAGATGCAGAGTCGCTTCTTAAACAGATGAAGATTATGGATCCTCGTATGAGGAAAGAAGGTTCGAAAGTTGTAACTCTTGCTCTTAGTAAGGTAATCAAAATCAATTAGCTCTTCTTTTTTTGTGTACTTAGTTTA